CAACCTGGAAAAAAAAGAGGTTCTGACTTAGCACATGGAAAAACTTAACTGCCATGAAGACAGTGAGGCAGCAGAACATGTTCCCTGGAAAGGTTATGTCATCATCTTCCTTGGAGTCTTCCCAAGACCCAATTGGTTAAAGCCCTGAGCAACCTGGTCTGACCTCATGACTGACCCTGCTCTAAGGCGGATGTTAGACTGGGAGGGCTCTTGATAACCCTTCCCACCCGAGTTATTCTCTAATTCTCTAAGCCAAGTTACTCTCTTTTCCTCACTACTTCTCAAAGAATATCACATTATTAAAAAATTCAAGACACAATAATCCAATAGGATGAGCTGAAATAATGTTAACAGGGCAGCATCAAAACTCTTTTCTCCCTCTAGGTCAGCCAACCCCCTCCCTGTGGGTGACTGATTCACTGACACTGTGACATCAGCCACAGTATTTCTATTGCTGTGGACACATGCTTACCACTCATGCTAAAAAACATTTGTGCTGCTTTATAAACACGCCATGGAGCCTGGAAAGGAGAGGATTAGAAAGAAGCAGGTTCTAGCATCTGGAATTTATCACCTTCGATGTGATTTTAGCTAACAACAGGAGGAAAAATAAATGGAAAAGACTATGGGGTTGGTCAGTGATACCAGGGAACATACTCCATCCTGCAATGAGAGGGACCATTCACAATCATTCTAATAAAACTACTCCTCATCAGCAAAGTATAAGGCAGCTTCTCTCTACTATTCATTCTCAATTCAGAAGTGCAAAAAACAACCAGAGTATCTGAAGTCCTGCTGGCATCTGCATACAGAGGAGGTGGTCTCACAATCTAATGCATCCACTTAGGCCATTTCTCACATTATTGCCATGTAAGAGAAGTGTCTTGACCATCTCTTCTGCCAATCGTCAGCATTTCAGGTACATCTAGAATAAGACTGAGCTGGCTTATTGAAGTGGGAGTATGATGAGGATCCTTTTAGAGGATCAGAGTCAAGTCTGTTAGGACAGCTTGAATTCTGAGTTACTCTCTCTGCATCCACACAAGGAGACAGACGATTTAATTCTTTAAGCAAAGTCAAGGATAACTTGGCCCCCTGCTCTTCCCAAGAATAAGGACTAGACTCCAATGACTAATTCCTTTCTCTGCTTCGTATTTTTTCTTTGTTTTTCCAGGCCACATAAACTAATGTTTTGCTGAACCAGGGGAAAAGTATCTAACTGACAATATTCCATGACTTAGGCAACTAGGACACGGAGAGATGGTTGGTTTGGTTAGTGAAGTAAGTTAAATGCAGTCTTGGATATTCTCTGTATCCACAGTAGAAAATTAATATATGTCTCTAAATTTCCTGGCAAGGTTTCCATGATAACATCTAGTCTGAAATAAGCTATATCTTATTCTTACAGTAGAGGTAAAAAAAGTTTGGAAAATGATCAGTGCCTCAGTCTAGCCTTGAGAAATGGAATTAAATTTGGAAGAAACATGCTTGAATTAAACTAAAGCTTACTGCTCATCTATGAAGGCTAGAACAACTATGTCCGCTTGAAAAAAAATATATAAAAAGGTACTAATACCATTAACTATTTGGTCAGAGAGATGTATCTTTAGTTCTGTAACAGAGACCTCCAACTTTTGCCCTAGTTATTAATACTGAAAGCATAACCAACAAGTTTTAAGAAAGCTTTTGCTTTTTTAAATAATTACTCTGGAAGACAGATTGAATAAAAAACTAGAAGAACCCACTTAAGCTCCCAAAGAAGAATAGTCATATCACTGCAAGTTTTACCCCCCAATCTAGCTGAATTTCCAGTACACTTATTTTGGCACACTGATTTCTTATCCCATGTTCCTCTTGTTTAGCAGACACAGTCTTATCTCTGTCTTTGGACAGCTGAAGTAGAGCCTTTATAGGAAAGATTAACTCAGCTATCTTGTCTTTAAGCTTCTGAAAAAAAGCAAACAACCATTTTATGTGACAGTTCACCTTGGATTTCTATTACTGTAGGCAATTTAAAGAGAAGCAGGCACTTCTACGAGGACATGCCTACCCAGAAGAGAGAAAGTGTATGGACATGCCAGTCCTGGGACGTACTGGTCTGAGTGTGCCATACTAGATCTATGAATAGACACAGGACTTGGTATTTCTGAGCTGACAAGCCAACCTTTTCATTATACCACAAAGCATCTCCAAAAGAGATGTGACATACTGCCAACACAGGACTGAAATTGCCAGGAAATAATTAAAAAGAATTGCATTGTTGGGTTTCATAATTCTCCCAAGATAGTCTTGAGACCAAAGGACAGACTACATAAGTTAATTGGGTAGAAAAAAAACTCTGTCAGTAAACCAGTGACAGAAAGGAATGGAATCTATTGCAAAGTCATTTGTCTAAATATATCTGCTTCTTATGGACTGTTGCTCCATAAATTGTAAGATAAAATAAAATCTGTTTCACTACAGCACATCCCAGATCTAGATTTGCGCAGAGGAGACACTCTCAGGCTAAAGTTACATATTATGCCTTTAGACTATTTAATATCTAACCATATGCTAATGGAGAAGATCCTATTCATTCTTCCACCCCCACAATATGTAGAATACTCCTTTCCTCCCATTTCACCACTGGTTGCCAAAAACTGTACCAAGCTGATTTAACAGCAACTCGAACGTGCTAAAATGATCAACTTTCTGTCAGACTAGTACATTGAATTCACTCAGTGAAGGGTCAAATAAATGCCAAAGCAATGGGACTTCACCCCAAGATACTGATACTGGTGTTATGCCTCTCCTCTGCCATACAGGTGTGCATAGACAGTGCAGCTGAGGATCCTAGTCAACAGAAATTGAAAGTGGAGAAGTAAAGTAGGAAACCCAAGGCACCGCAGATACCGATGACCTTCCTTTCATTTTGCTGCGTGCCCCCTTTAAACCCAGTGGGCTCCTGTGCACGCAAATATCCTCTTCTCCTCTCCCTTTCACATTTTTTTGTCACATCTCATCTGTCCTCTGAGCTTTACCATCCTCAAGTCCTTATTGTCTTTCCTTAGTATTTCTTCTTCCCCACTTAAACTCGTAATCGCAATAACAACACCGGCATCAACATTACACTCATCACCATTGCAGCAATCACTGAGCACACACATCCAACCCCTTTCTTCTTCCTTTTTCCAGTTATGTACGCTGCCCAGGAGATGCTCAAATGCAACAAGTTTATGCAATGACCCATAGAACAAGGTGCTGCAGTAACTACCACAAATACACAAAGACAGTAGTAACAGTCTTCCGATTGACCTGACACAGTCAATATACAACAGGTTTCCCTCCACATCAAAAGACCTCCTGACAATCCACCAACACCACAGTCGTTCCACCCCCCAACCCTCCAGATTTCACCCTTCCAATGTTCAAAGCTGCATGCAATTCCAATTAACCTCTTTGACAGCCTGGAAAATAAACACGCTGCTTTTCAAGACAGTCCGTTCCAGCACGCAAAGAAAACAGCACACTAGTTACCAAAAGGAAACCAATTAGAAAGCAACCTTCTGTGCATCAGATCTACTGCAGATAGCAAGTCTCCCCTTTGTACCCCTTGGTTTCGCAGAACTCCGTACGTATTTACCTGTGCCATGAAGAGCCTGAGCTAACACCCAGTATCAGAATAGCTACCCCTTCATATTATCAAGGGAGGCAAACATTGGCTGTGAAAGCATATGGGCAGACACGTAAGCAGAACACTGAGGCGATGATGAATAATGTGCTCCCGAATGTCAAGGTACAGTGGAATTTTCATATTCTCACAACATCCCGGCTTCTTTCTCACATTGCAGCAAAACAAAATAAAAATGTAGGTGGAACTGGAGTCCTGCTGTTATTAGCATGCAAAGAAAATGAACTTATTTAAATTCACCCATCTGTTCTGGCCAACCATTTATGAGTAATTCTCAACATTTCAGTCACCTGAAAACTATAGCAAGTTCTAGACACAAACACTTCCTAAGCAGTTAATATTCAGGATCACAGATGACTAAGCCATACAGTGTTTCATTCTTTCAGTAAGCTTTGTTTCTCGCCTAGCATTCTGGCTGCTTTTTGTCTCTAGTATTTCTCTCCTGTTTCTGGCAGATGAAGTGGAGGTGGAGAAGAAAAGGGAGGAAAGTTCTTGGGTAGCATAAGGACTGCAGTCATTTCCAATCCTTCAGCAAGGAGGAGTTTGTTCAGGGAACAGATAACCAAATGCTGCTACCTACTCCTCTACCCCACTTAATTATTTTTTGTTTTGTTTTTAAACTTATGTTTACAGCTGTTTGCAATTATTAAGTTACACAAGCCAGGTACATCCATCTCCTTTCTGCCCCCAAATCCCACCCACACATTTCCTCCACCTTCTTATTGTTACCGTGGGCAATTTAAAACAGAAAACTGCAATTCAGAGAAGTCCTCAATCACAGACCTACAGGTCACTGACATTTTGCTCACACCCAAACCCGACGTGAATGTAGATGCCACTCATCAGAAGGACAGTTACGCCATGGATAACAAATCATCTCAACTCTCTAAATTAAAAGCAGCATTAGCACAGGGACAAACTTACTTTCAAAGCACTCTTGGTATTCTGCCTGATTACCTGCCCTTGTTCAAAACAAAGGGAGAACTGTCCTCGCATGGCTCTACTTATGTTTCCTTTCAGTGTTCTGAAATAAGAGCTGTATAAGATCTTGCATTTTGTTTTCAATTGGAAAGGTCGCCTGGATTACATGGGGAAATGAAACTGTACACTTTTTCTAATACGGACAAAGGGAACGA